CTCCAATTTAACCATAGAGAAGACAATATTTATGAATAAAAATGACAATAGGAAAACTAGTAATTTTCATCCAATGAAGACTTTATCAAAGCAAAATACGAAATGAATTTAATTGAACAAGGTAACTAATAAAAACAAGAAACAGAATGTTCCTAACAACTGGAATGTAGAGAACGCTATTTTCATATTGTTAACTGAAAATAACATCAGTATTTGTCACATGAGGAGAATATTGTCATTATATTTGTGTTGATGTATTCAACCATTTTCTTTTGATTTTATGAATCTGTTGTGTACATTTGTTTATGAGAGCAGTAATTTTGTTAAGAAAGGTGAAATGGTTAAAAAACCTGGCCGTAGATTAATATTTGGATAATATTCTATGGTGGCACTCTCAAGAATTTTCCTTCTGAGTGAGTTATTTTCTTTTCTTTTTTTTTTGAGTGTAGCACATATATATATATATATATATATGTGTGTGTGTGTGTGTGTGTGTGTGTGTGTGTGTGTGTGTGTGTGTAGGGTGCGATGGGTAAATTGTCGCCAGTTTATATTTTTAATTTCACACAGTACAGTAGGGTCAGTTGGGCACTGTCTGTGAGAAAAAGAGCAATATGACAAAATTCACTCCACCTGAAATTTGGAAACGGCATGCTGTACTGCTTGGCATTCATGCTGGAAGCTCCAATGCGAACATTTCAGAGTGTTTTGGTGTCAATCTGAGGACAGTTCAGAGGATTCGTAAAGAGTTGGAGGAGTCTAATGGTGATTACGAAGGTACAGCAGCACGGAAGCCTCACTCTGATCGTTCTGATAAGAAAAGAACTCCCCAATTTATTAATGAGGTCCTGACCATAATTTACAACAATCCCTCCAAATCAATCAGATCTATAGCCAGGGACACAGGAGTGTCTGAGTTTCTTATCAGACAGGTAGTGCATGATGAAGTGAAGTCATTTGGTATGCCTTATCATTGCACCCTGTAAAACAACAGACACGGAAAAAGTATAGGTATTAAATCAACCCACAAAATTTATCTGCCCAAAATGTTAAAAAATAAATTACCAGCAAAAAAAAATTAAAAAAACTTGTAAAAGTTTATTTCAACAAACTCAGAAGCTTTCTAAATATATTCCCATGAAGCAATTCACTCTGCCAGAAATTACGAAACGGCATGCTGTACCACTTGGCATTCATGCTGGAAGCTCCAATACAAACATTTCAGAGTGGGTGTCAATCTAAGGACAGTGCAAAGAATTTAGAAAGAGTTGAATGAGTCTCATGGTTATTACAAAGGTGTTTGAACTCATCACTAGTGATGGCGACGTTATGCCTCCATTCATCTTCACACAGGGCCACAAACTCAACACACAGGCCTATATCAAGTGCCTTGAGGAAGTAGTGCTGCCCTGGGTCAAAAGGGTGGCTGCCAGAAGACCTCATGTCTAGCAACAGATCTCTGCACCATGCCACACATGTAAGAGAACCCAGTCATTGCTGTCGCACAATTTTGTGACCACATCACCCCTTACATTTGACCACTTAACTCCCCAGACTGCAACCCCCTTGATTATTATGTCTGGAACACATTTGAGTGATAGACCAACAAATCTCTTTTATAACACCAAAGATGAACTGAAGGCAAGGATTATAGCAGCATTCACCAACTTAAACAAGGAGACTGTCCAGAAAAGTTGCAGGAGATTCTGAAGTTATCTGGAGGCCATGGTTGAAGCCAATGGCAATGTTATTGGATACATTTACACTTTAATAATATTTATTATATATTAACCTTTACATTTTACTAAAATACAAATTGTTACGTGGACTGAAAGAGAATGAGAAGAATTTAGTTAGGATAAT